AAAAGATGATGTTTGTGTGGAATAAAAGCAGATGTAAATCACAGTTTTGCTGCAGTCTGGGTGGGATGTAGTGTGTGATAGACATACAGACGCTTGGTTGGTTACATACTTTGCTGATGTGGCAAAAAAAGTGACATTGACTTCTAGCAGTATAAACAATGTAAAAAGTAAAAAAAAAAAAAAAAGATGCCAAGTCCCCAACTAACTTCCACAGGGCACCTTTAATGAGACCCAAGTTATGTAGCCGGCCAAACAACGAGCTGAAGCAGCTAAATGGCACAGCTGAGCTAAGGGAAAGTGCACCATCAGGTGAAACTTTGTAGGCTTGTCATCACAAGCGTCACCTTTCACTTGACATTTGGAAGCTCTTTATGATAATTCTGCAAACAAAAAACAAAACAAGTAATGGTTCAGAACCACAGCAATACTTTGTAAATGTATGAATATGGAAACGTGCATATTTCTTCAACACATCCATTCACTGACACTCATGAGGATGAACATCTCCCACTGTTCTCCTCCATCTTTTTATCCATTCTCTTTCTTCTGCCCCCGGGGCGTTTAGGCTCCACGCCGTTGCATATATCCAATTATACCGCGGCTCTGAGCACGACGGTGACACATCGATTGACACGAGTGACATCCCGTCTTATCACAGTGACACGATGCAGTGCTGGAGCAAGCATCATTAGCCTGATCAGCCAATAGCGGGGCAGCTCGTTAGACCTCCTCCGGGGCTGGACATGCAGTTCTGGTTCTAATACAGATATTATAGGTCAAAGAAGCCGAGTGACAAAGTGATGGAGAGCGGAAAGGAGATTATAAACCTTGAAGGAGCAACCTTATGTTTGTGCACTCTTCTGTATTTTTGTGTTTCAGGCAATTCCACTGGGCTGATGTCGGGCAATTACTTTTCCTCGAGCCACAGCGACACAACAACAACTTCCTTCAAAGCGGCGTCTAAACCCCCCTCCCAAACCTCGATGATACTGCAGGCAGTCTTTAAGCCACCTGATTACATGGCTGCTGAATCATGTGAGCATTTCGAGCTAAAACGATTGCCTCAAATACTACGACAGTTTTTTTCCCAAAGTGTGCTTTTGGGATAGGTTGTGCCCTGAGGACAAATCATTCTCCGTAGAGCTCTTTTTGGCCCATTTTTGCTCCACCTGTGGTATTTATAGGCAAATGTTCTCGCATTGCTATGCTCCACTTATAAGCCCTCTTTTACCAGAAAGGTGCTGTCAAACTCTGCGTGAAAACATGAGCTTTTGTGAGATGAAGATGAAAGAAGGCGTGCTCGTTTCCACCTTTCCGATTCATCTTCAAATCGAATGTGTTTGCTGGCTGAAATCGCTGTCCGTGCATTATGATGTAAAGGTGCTACATCTGTGCCCAGCTGAAACCGAGCCAAGCTCCAACGGCTGTCGGGGGGCGTTGCATAACAAACCCTGCTCCGCACCTGTTGGCCGGCCCCGGCCAGCTCGAGCTACTCAATCCTATTTACAGAGACAGCACGATAAAATATTAAATGCTCCAATGAAAATCCTTTCAATATTCACACGACGCTCTCACATATCTACAGATGGTATTTCCATGTGCACACGTGGGTGTGTGTTGCACGTTCACCTGCTTTTTCATTCTAAAAACCCTTCATCGCTTCATCATCGACGTCATATCAAAGTGAAAGGCTGCATTGTGTGGCCGCCCCCGTTCCCCCCCTACCCCTCTGGATTTAATACTGTCGAGCAGATACATCAGTAAATAGTGGGAAAACGCCGTTGTTATTGTGTATTCTCCACTCACTAGAACATTGTGAACGCAGGAAAATACATTGTGCCCCGACCTCTTTTGTTCCTCTGCCTAGCAAGCGGAGGAGAAATGAATACGTGGCGAATGCCATGATTATTTTCTTATAAATAGTGAACGAAGTAATAAAGCTGCTTTGTTGTCAATTGTGTAAGCAGTTAGGCAGATATGGTCGCAACCCTCTGTGCACGCCTTGGAAAAATAAATGAAGGACACTGGCTAAAAGCTGGAGCAGAGGGATTCTGAAGGAATCACTGCACTGACAGTGAAATTCATCACTAAATCTATCTGTGCAATTACTGATGTGAGCGTCAAACTGGCGAACAGTGCTCTGCTCCCTGTCTTCCGCCTCCTGCTCCCTCTTCCACTTCTCCTTTCTGTTTGTTTACCATGCCCCTGACAGTAGAACAATGCAGCGACCTTTGCAGAGATAATTCTATTACGTAAGTTGAGTAATTGCTCTGGATGTGGAAGAGGAGTGTCCGATTGCTCCTCTTGCTTGGCCCAAAGCTCTCATGTCCTTGGATTTAAATGAAACTCTGCGGCATTCGCGGAACCAGACGTGGAGAGGGTCCGCTCCGAAAGCAGAGGAGAGCGGAGCGGAGCAGAAGAAGGGGAAAGGATGTGAGACGACAAAAGCAGTGAGCCAGAACCCAGCAGGATAAACCCCCTCCAACCCCCCAACTATTTGTTAAAGCAGTGCTGGGCACAACATGTACCTACAGATTGTCCGAGAGGCTTTGAAAACAGCCTGCGAGGTGCAAAGAGCCCTCTGAATTTCCACAGTCACGTTCCCATAAGTGAAGGTGTGCAGTCACAATGTGCAGGCTGCGAAGGTACACAGCAATAAATGGAAGCAGTGTGGATAGCTCTCGCCTGCTGAGGCGCTTTTTTCCCCTTTATTTTTTTCATCTTTTCCACCACCTAGTGACCTGTTAGCTATGATGGAGAAGAGGGCACAGAGGCTCAGTGCTAACAATCGCTTTACTGGCAGAAGTGTTCACTTTACTTTATTCAAGTTTCTTCATTTGGACAATGGGTAGAGATGAAGCCATAGAAACAGGCAATTAATGATATTTGCTAGCAGCTATCTGTTGGAGAAAGAGATGGAGAGGCAGAGAGACCGAGGGAGAAGCTCCACTCCCACATTGTTAATTAGAAGATCTTTCTCCCTCTCTCGCGCTGTGCTTGCTGAATAAAAGATGCCTGGAACACACATGCACGCACAAAGGCAAGGACTTAAGAAAATTGTTGGCAACATGCCTGTATTGTAATCACAAATTGTACATGTAATACACTGGATTCTTGCAATGTCCGGAAGATATTATTCATTCAGTGATCAATAACTGCAGCCGGCGAGAGGGTTGTGGGTTGGTACAGTGGGATGTATAGAGAAAGAGAGAACGACAAGAGGCAAAGCAGCGGAGGAAAATAACAGGAAACTGATTTCATGCTCGGGGGATTGCATCTCATTTTCTCCCAGCACGGGGAGACGGTGTGCGGTCCAGCTCGTGGATTTACTGCCACCTGGTGGTGCGTGACTCCTCTGTAGGGGCTCCAGAAACCTCACAGGAAACAAAGGCAGTCGTCAGAGTGGACGTCGGAAGATCGGCTCGATCCGAGAAAAGTAAACGAGACCCTTTATCTGAGGCAGACGGAGTCATGCACACTTGTGCTATACGAGCACAACTCCAATGCGCTGGAGTATTCCCGCAGCGGCGTGCCTGTCTGCCTGGCTTTCACCTCTCTTCATCTCCTTTCTGCCGTAAACAAGTAAAGAGAAACTGCTGGAAAGAGTTACGCAAAGAAAGAAAATCAGCCACGAAATTCTCATTAAGACTAAAACCGCACGGCTAAAAACACTATTACACGCTTGGACAGCCTAGTCAATATTAGTGCACATCTATTTCCAAAAGAAGCAGGCGAACCTAAACCTTCAGAGTCACAAAGATGTAAAATATGTCACCGTCAAAAGCGCCTGTGTCTCAGGAAGAATTACATCTTTGCTGATATGAAATCAATGAGACCTCCCTCTATGTCATCCCAGGCAGCGCCGGGGGGGAATTAATGAGGGCTTCTCATCACTAATTAACACATAAACACTCAGCTCCCATCACCGAGTGAGAGCTCAGGTCGGCTGTTTGGCCCCCGTGTGGAAAACACTGCGTCAGAGGATCGTGAAAGAGAGGGAAGTGAGAAGGAGAGAAGAAGAAAAAGCGAGAGAAAGATATAAAGTCATACACAGGCAGCCGGGCCTGACATCAGAAAGGTCTGGATGATTAGGGGATGCCAGCACTCACAGATAGCAGCTCTCCTAACAGCTTCCACCACCTCATTAGTCCGGCCCAGCAGCGCTGTGCCCCCACTATTAAACGCTAAATGAAAGACCGCCAACCGTGATTACTAAGGGGAAGTCCCTTGTCGTCATGGGGATAAGAGATCCCTTTTCTCCCTCGCTTTCAGACACACACGCACACAAACTCACAATTCGTCTTTAGCGAAAGCTATTTGAAGGACGCTTATGAAAAGGCGATTGAGGCAGAAGTGGATATTTTACACATCATCAGTTGCGGTCGGGCTAACCGCCGAGCCCGAACCGCGAAAGCTCAGGACATCAAGCAAACCTGTTACGTCAAAGCAACAAAGCAAAAAAATAGATGCCCTTAACAACTGCCGGCATCTCTCAGGTGCTTCATTTAAAGATCACAACACGCTCTCAGCTCCGGATTCATGCAGCATTTTTAACAAAGCTTTAACTTAACAGGCCTGAACCAACGAGTCCTTGAGTCAAGGATGCGGCTCTCAGTGCTGCACACATGAGTTCATGGGTCGAGCCAGTTTTTAGCATGGAGTGTGCAGAGTGTGAAATATAATAATGTGCATGTGCATAAGAATGTATAATGGTACGACTTATGAACTGTAACCTTGCAGTATTGTGCAGTTTTGTGCAGTTTTGTGCTGTTCTGTGCACCTCGTGCATCATGTGTTAAAGGAGGATTCCATAAACTTTGTGCTGCACCTCCACATGATTACAGTGTTGTGGAGATGAGCTGGCTTTGAGCCTTGCATACTTTAATTTTCCTCAATAAACTGTCCTTCAGCCTTTAAAGGCTTTCTACTTCTCTCTGGAGTCCCCCTTTAATGCACATGTAAGGCAAATGCAGAAAACTCTTAAAGCCAGCAGCACTCACGGTCGTTGCAGTAGGTCCCCGAGTAGGACGTCAAAGAGCAGTCACAGGTGAAGTTCTCCCAATGCTGGATGCACACGCCCATGTTGGCGCATGAATCCTCCTGGCAGGTGGTGCTGGGCCCTGAAAAAGGGTGAAAGGGGAGAAGAAACATAGAGAGAGAGATACCACAGGTGCACAGTCAAGCAACGATAAGACTGACCGCTGAGGCTAAACAATGCAGGACCCATGCAGAAGGAATGCACTCTAGAAAGACAGGTTTACACCATGTGGGCCTCGAAGAAAAAAACAAGGAGCAAACAGTGTCGTCACACGAGGCCTGACCTGCAGTGCGAATGCAGTTTAAAAAATACTGCCTGATGAATCCTGCGTCATGCTGGTTAAAGCTGCTGCAGCACTGGGAAGGCGGCGCACAGGCGCCAGGTTTTCGCAGCGTCGACTGCACGCTCTTTGAGCAGGGTTGGGGGGAACATCAGCATATACTCTCAGTTAATTACTGCGAAAAGTGCTGTAGAAGACGCCGCTTGCAGCGTGTGCGATGCACTCCAATCGGCACTTAAGACACGTTGCTGCAAATGACTTGGACCCCCGTCTGGGCTAATGTGATGACACTGTTAAGTTTCCTTCTTTTTGGTAGTGTGTGCGGGTGGACGCGCATGCACTTCATTTCATTCCAACATGTTTCCAAATAGTTTTATCAGAGTAAAACTCGCTGCATTCCCTCTATAAAACAGGCAAGACGAGACATAAACCTCCTAGCAGACGGCTCATGGATTCAAAACTGCATTTAACGATACCCACATTTAAAAAACAAACAGACAACAAAAATGGCATTAAAAAAGCGAGCCCGGTCGTTTCCTTGACAAATACTGACACGGCGAACACTGGATACACTGGACAGACGCAATTCACGAAGAGAAAACGGAAAGATTACTCGAGAACACGCAGTGCATATCCTCGTGTATGCACTTCAGTCAGACAGGAGTTGAGGAGGGTATTCAAAGTCAAACTGGATGTGTGTTTGCTATTCCTCTACACGCCACACATAGCTCTTACTTTTGAATACTTTTACTGAGAGGGAATGCAGATAAGGACAAGCGCACAGCATAGATAACGAGATAAACAACCCCCCACCCCCCCGTGAGAGTCTAGACAGACAAAAGGGGAAACAAAACTTGACAGTAACCCTTCTGATAACCGTAGAGGAAACAAACAAAATTAAATAAAGCAAAAATTAAATAAACAGTCCAAATACATGGCAGACAAATGCAAGTAAACACTGTTTAAGAGCAGTTGTCTTGTGCAAGACAATGTGAAAAGAAGGAGAAGAAGACATCTGAGGTGGAATAAACAGAGCAAGTTTGCCAGCTGAAAGTGCATTTACTGTGTAATGGACAGTAACGGTGGTCAACCAGGCAACCCAGAGAGCGCGCGGGCACGAGCGGCTCATCAGCGCGAATCAAACACATCGGTGCTCGTTTTGTTAGAGATGGAAGATTTTGCTGAACTCCAGTGTTGTGGCAGCAGGCTGCTTCCTCTCTGGAAAAAAATAATAGCAACACTCATCTGAGTAAAGCAGCAGATGTGATGGATTTTTTATTAAAATAAAAAATGGAGACAGAAAGAGAGGTCTGATCCATCAGCGGCACACTGACAGTGTTTAGATGTGCTGCGACAGCCTCTTCCTGCTGTCTGCGCCAGCCTGCAGTGTCACAACTGGCATTTTTATTCAAGAACACAGCACTCCCACAAACTGTCTGCCTCTGCTTTTAACCAGACTTTTGGACCGTCGGCACGAGTCCGTCACTTATCTGACCCCATCTGTTTACTCCCTTTAATTACACGTGCGCTGCAAGTCCCTGCGCAACTTTATCAGATGTGTTCCTGAAAGAAGCCGAGTTTGCCAGTTTCGGCCACATATCTGATCGGATGTGGTTACAATCACACTGCTGCCGCGCTGTGGTATAGAAAAGTACAAATCATTTAAAAAGTAATAATTTTACTCATTTTTGCCCTGCCAGCATTCTCTATTTCTTTTTTCAGAGAGCAAGCCACCTCTGCAGCACATAAAGGGGTCCTTATTGCCATGGTGACACCCACGATGCATTGCACACAGCAGACTTTCAGGCGAGCAGGCCTCCGTGAGGCGGAGTTTAACCCTCTACCTTGCAGGTCGGCTTTGGTGAAACCAACTTTGTTAGCGCAGAAAGAAAAATAACAAACAGAACAGAGCAGAGCGGAAAACAAGAGTAGAGGTTAGTGGGGAGCAGCATCGTTAGTGTTCTTAAAACTTGTACAAGTTTGTTACTGTGGCAGCAGGAGAGGGGCGCTGACTGGGTTTTTTAGCGAGGGCTGAGCTGCTTAAAAATAAAGGTGTTAAATTAAACGAGTTCACCATAATGGCAGCGTTTGTTATCTTAATCTTCTGCTGCCCTCTAGAGGAAATGTGTTGTAAGCTTTTCCATATGCACGAATAATCAATTCCATTTCAATACAGTTAAAGCATTAGCATGGGAAAATGTATTTATTAAGCACTAAGAATCTCAATTTATAGATATAGGTCAAAAGAGTTACTGTAAAAAATACAACCTTGGCAGCAGCTCGTTTATATTTTGTAACAGCAATACGTTAGTCAGCCTTAGGATGTGAATTTTAGGAGGAAAAGTGCTCGGTTTAAACGAGTTACAATGTAAAACAATCTAGAATTGTTCCTGAGGTTACAACATATTGTTATCATTAAATATACGAATGCAACACAAAAGCTCAGAAAGCTGCTATTAGATAAACAGACTGACAAATTCTACTCCAAGAATTATCCTAAAATGTGACAAATACCTGGCAAAGGAAAGCAGAATGAGGATTAACGGTGCCAGCAAATGGCTTTAGGGGGGGCTACAGAGGAGCTCTCTAATTAGTCTAATAAATCTCACGCAGCAGGTCAGGAATCTCCTACGCTGTAGGCCATCTGTACCTTCACAGCCGCGCTCGATCTGCCCGCTGCGGAAAAGGGCGTCGTTGATGAGGTCTGGCAGACGGCCGTTCAGGTCAACCGAGGCCAGGCAGCCCTGGAAGCCCTCCCGAGAAACCACCAGCTTGGGGAGATTCTGATACATGTTAGGTCCCAAACCTCCAATGAACAGGTCGCCTGAAAATTGAGGAAAATACGCGATTGCATCACTGTTGTTTACTTTCTTTACTTTGTCATATAGTGTCACTATTCAGCTCCAGCCAGCAATTGTGGGCTAACTTCGTCTAAATGTAATGAAATACACTTAAAATACTTGAAAAACATACTTTTTATAGCATATCCACAAGATATTCCAGGAAGTTACTGGTGCAGGTTAAAAGAATAATCTGATACTGAACTGTTTTGATACAATTCATTTGCAAATCTTTTTTGGGTTAAAGGTAACTCTAGGTTCAGGTAACCCCTGACTCATAGTATAGTGTATAAACTTATGTCAGCAAACTGTTCATTTGTGCTTTTATTTACTTGTTATTTACCTTAGATGAAGACATGATGTTATTTCAGGTGAAAAAGCTGATGAAAAGGGGAGATCAGGTACCTTTGAGGTCCAGATTCTTGGCTCCGTTGACATTCTGAGTGACTGACTTTGCGTCCACCTTGAGCGTGTGTGTGTTGGAAGCGTCTCGGGTAATGACCACATTGTGCCACTGGTTATCATTCAGTGGGTTGTCACTGTTTCCTTTCAGCAGACTGGGCCCATTTCCCAGGTCAAAGACATAGTGAATAAATCTGGCAGAGAAGAAGAAGGAGCAGCAGATGAACACATCAGTATTTGGGGAGGGGGGTATTTTGTGTGCGCATGTGTGGGTGCAGTATGTCTTTTTTTATCTTGCAATAGGGATTAAATTTTAATGGAAAAACTCTCACAATCACCTCACGTTGCTCTGACACTAATCGGAGTTAAACTGACAGAGAAAACAATCTTCTTCCCAACACAATCGTGTTTATGTGCAAAAGGAGATTTGGGATCAATTTGTTTGGGCTTCTCTGTTAAATTCATAAAGCCTTAAGGTACCAACTGTACCCACATCAGCCCTGCTATTTAAAATGTATAATCCATATCTGGACTCCAACTGCTGAATAAAACATGAACACGCCTCGTCCCACTCACCCTTTCACCAGCTCCACGGCGATAAAGTCGTTCCCGTCTCCGCTGTTGAAGATGATGAAACCGTCAGGTGAGGTGGTTTTGAACTGAAAGAAGAGGTGCATTGTGGTATACGCCTGAAGAGTGGCCAAGCCCAGGTAGCTGCCCTTAGTCTTGAAGGTCACGGGGTCGGCGATGATGAAACGCATGCCGAAGCGAGCGTTGAGCTCGCAGAAGTCGATGTCGCCATTCTTGCACATATCGATGTACTGCATACCGTTGAACTTTAGGCTCTGGGGGAGAGATGGTGCTGTTATTACTACCTGTGAAGCACGACTGTGTCGTGAGCAAAACTG